GAACTGGAACTGGGGATTGAACTCAGGCCCTTGCGCTTGAGTTCATCTCCCCGGCCCCAACTTGTTTCTTTTTTGAAGATGCATTCATTTATTTATCTAGAACTGTCTTGAGCTTATCTTTCTTTATGACAGAGTAGTACTCCATTGTATAAAAAAATACACATCTTCTGTATCCATTCAGTAGTCAGTGGGCATTTGAGCTATTTCCAGGATTTGGCTGTTACAAACTGTGCTATTATAAGTGTGCATATATCGCTATGTTTATGATGCTTTTCATTCTTTTGGGAAGATACCCAGAAGGGGAATAGCTAGGTCAAATGAGAACTCCAATCCTAGTTTTTTGACAAATCTCCACCTTGATTTCCATAGTGGTCACACCATTCTACACTCCCACCAACAGTGTTTCCCTACAGCCTTTCTAGAATGTTTTATTCCTTGATTTCTTGATAATAGCCATTCTTTCTGGGATGACATGGAATCTCAGCTTTGTTTTAATTTATGTCTTGTATGACTAGTGACTTTGAACATTTTTTCATACATTTATTTGCTGTTTCTATTTCTTCATCTGGGAAGTGTGTATTCATCTCAGATGCATAGGATCTTGTTTAGTTTTGGTCTTTAAATTTAGGGGTATGACTTTTTTGAATTCTTTATATGTTCTCAGTAGTAATCCTTTGTCTAGAGAACAGCTGGCAGACATTTTTCCCCCTGCACTATGAGCTGTCTCTCTCTCTCTCTCTCTTTTTTTTTTGGTGGAACCAGGGATTGAACTCAGGCATTGAACTCAGGCCCTTCCTCTTGCTAAGGAAGCGCTTATTCTACCGAGCCATCTACCCGGCCCCAAAGGCAGACCCGGGACTCGAACCTACGACCTCTTGCTGTGGAGCCTAATGCGATCTCTCCAGCTAGAGTTTTCACTCTTTTTTTTTTTTTTTTTTTTTTTGCGGAACCAGGGATTGAACTCAGGCCCTTTTGTCAGGCAAGCACTTATTCTACTGAGCCATCTCCCCACCCCTCCCCAGCCCCTCTCTTCTCTCTGTTGATGGTTTCTCTTGCTGTGCAAAAGCTTTTTAATAAGGTAAGATCCCAGTAGTTGATTTTTTGTGATAATTCCAGTGCGATCAGGGGTTTGTTCATAAAATCTTTACCTACACTTCTGTCTTCAAGAGTTCTACCTAGTCTTTCAGCAGATTTGATGTTTCTGTTTTAATATTTAGATCTTTGATCCATTTTGATTTTAGTTTCTTGCATGGTGAAAGATACAGGTCTAATTTTACTCTTTGCCATGTAAAAGCCAGTTTTTCCAGCACCATTTCTTAAAAATTGCCCATAATTTAATTTATTTATTTTATGATACCAGGGATAGAACTTGGGACCTTGCACTTGCCAGGCAGGTGCTTATGCCCCTGTGCTATATATCTCTGGCCCCTGCCCATAATTTTAAACTGTTCACACTTTTTTTTTTTCTTAATTTTTTTTTAAATTTATTTGTGTGTGTGTGTGTGTGTGGCCAGCTCAGCCCACCAGGGGGCAGGGCTGGCTGGCATGTGGTGCAAGGGGATCGAACCGTGGTCCCTGTGCTTTGACTAAGCTTGTTCTAAGTAGGTGATTTAGACCACTGAGCCATCTCCCCAGCCCTGTTCACACTTTAGACGTATTTTCTCTCAGAGGTAATTTGCAGTACAGTCTTCAAGACTGAGAGTATTGATACATGTGTGTCTGTAACATGTTCATTTGTTTTTTCCATTCCAACAGGAAGCAAAGATATTTGAATAGCTATCCAGGGTACACTGAGGTAGCAGACTGAACATCTAGGCCCACTTCTGCAATGCTCAGAATTGAGCTGGAAGTTTTTTGAACGTGAGCACAGAGAGCTGGGGAACACCTTTCTGTGCTTCTATTGTCCTTGGTCAGTCAGGCAACCTAACACTGCTATTTCCTAAGTAGCTATGCAGTCAGCTCTTAGGCCAAGGATTTCTGGAGGAGAAAAGAGTAACTGAGCATGGTGGCATAGGCTTATAATCCCAGTACTCTGAGGGGCTAAGCCAAAAGGATGGCAGATTTGAGCTTAGGCTGGACAATTCAGTAAGATTGTCTCAAAAAATAAAAAGTGATATAGCTCAGTGTCAAAGTCTTGGATTAAACTCCCAGTACCCCCAGCCCCCCAAAAGTACACATATATGTGTTCAGCTTGATGCATTTTCCAAACTGAATGTATCCCTTAACAACACCCAGATTAAGAACCTGAGTATACCTGGGCACCCATGCTCCTTCCAGCCTGACTTCTACCAGCATCAGTTAGTTTTCCTTGGCTTTGTACTTACTCTAGGTTGTTTTGTTGTTGTTGTTTTGGTTTTTTTGAGACAGGATCTTTCTCTGTAGTCAGGCTGGCCTTGAACTTACTATGTAGCCCAGGCTGGCCTCAAACTTATGGCAGTTGCCTGCTTCAGCTTCCTAACTGCTGGGGTTACAACCATATGCCACTACGCCCAGCTTGTACTTACTTTAGAAGCTTATTTATTTACTTATTGATACCAGGGATTGAACTCTGGAACTTGTGCTCACCAGATAGGTGCGTATGCCGCTGAGCTATCTCCCTGGCCCTGTACTTTAGTGTTTATTTCTGTTAGTGACTTTTTTTATTTTATTTTT